CCTACAACTAGGCCAAAGAAGAAGGAAAAAAAAGGAGAAAGAAAAAAAAAAATGCGCCTAAAGCCCAAATCCAAGCGCTCCAACCTTTCCGCAACGGTTAAATTATTATTATTATTATACAGGATTTATATATTATTATTCAGGATTTATATATTATTATTATACAGGATTTATATATCATTATTATACAGGATTTATATATTATTATTATTATTATACAGGATTTATATATCATTATTATACAGGATTTATATATCATTATTATACAGGATTTATATATCATTATTATACAGGATTTATATATTATTATAATACGGGATTTATATATTATTTATAATACGGGAAAAAAATAAAAAATAAAAAGGATTTTATATATTAGAATAAAGGAAAAATATATTATTATAATACATTGACTATTTTTAACCCTTACGCGATTAGTATTAGTAATAGATAGGAAAGTAGATCATAAATTACATGTTTTAAACTTATTTTTTTACATTTCTTAAGTTACTTCCTGGTTTCCATGCCTAGGCACATGTCGTCATACATCCCAGGAGTCCTCAGGAGAGGCTCTCTCAGCTAAGTACACTCTCCTGCCTGTGTGTCTGAGCTAAGATAATAGACCAGAAACAAATTCTCCTGCGCTCTAGGACCCAGGCGGGTGGCGGATGGATGGAACCAGAACTGGAAAATTCGACCACCAGTGCATATAAAGTTGTGCAGCTCCAAACAAGGCTGGGGAAGCCCGACCAATACTGCAAAGCGAAACAAAAACGAGAAGCGCACCAACCTTGCGCATTACCTCAGTAACCAAAATTTATTAAATACAGAATGATGCTCACAAACAGCGAATAAAATCAGGCATGTCAGTCCTCAGAGGGACTTAAAAGATAAGGAACCAGCGCGAGTCCGATCCTGGGGGTAGACACTCAGTACAGCTGACGCGTTTCGAAGGGCATCCCTTCTTCATCAGAGCTACTGATGGAGGGATGCCCTTTGAAAGCGTCAGATGTCTGAGCTAAGGGCAGATGGATTCCAAGAAGATGCTATATGGATCATCTGCCCTTACTCAAGATGGCCACAGCCAGAAATGCTAGGGGGGGGGGGGGGGGGGGGGCGTTTTTCAAAGTGATTTCTCAGCAAAATAAAGCATGGAGACATGGATGGATGGGGGAGTTTGCTTTGGATTTTAAAGATAAATGTTTTTTATTTCAGATACTTAGACCAAATTACGCAGTGTTTTACATATATATTGTACATTCACATCAGTCCCTAACCCTCAAGGGGTGTACAATCTAAGGTCCCTAACTCACATTCATACATACACATACTAGGGCCAATTTAGACAGGATCCAATTCACCTACCAGCATGTCTTTGGAGTGTGGGAGGATACCAGAGTATCCGAAGGAAACACATGCAGGCACAGGGAGAACATGCAAACTCCAGGCAGGTAGTGCCATTATTGGGATTCGAACCAATGACCTGGGTGCTGCCAGGCAGAAGTGCTAACCTCTTAGCCACTGTGCTGCCCATCAAATAGAGTTTTTGGGTTGTGGTGTTCAGATGCGATGTAGTTCCGCTTTAAGGAGCGAACGCATATTCCTCGCTCCAGTGGTCCGGTCCTCTGGAGCTGCTCTGTAAGGTACAACCGCCTGTGGTTGCAGTCCACCCTCGGCATACAATACTGTGTTATTGCCTTTGTATTGTACATGATGATATTAAAGCTTTGACCACAGACCAGATCTTCGAGAAGAGCACAGCGCTGGAGCCGGCCAGAGCGGGGCATGAAGATAATTCGGCCACAGATGGGATTAAATCTCGACAGGGACCGGTCGAGATTCAATTTATGTGTGGGTAGATTGGTTGATTGAAGTTGACCCATCGATATACTTCAGTACAACCAGTCGGATTTTTTTTCAGGCGATCACTGCCTGTGGTTATAGCTCCCCATAGGCAGAATACGATAGCACTGTGGGAGGGATTCCCCATCAACACCGAGTGTGTTGATGCGAATATCGAGCAATTTTCTTTCCTTCCACGGTGGTGGAAAGAAAGAAAATTGAATAATTTATGTCCTGCTATATGCAATGCTGCCTGCGCATTAACCCCTAAAAATAAAGAGAATTTAACCCTTGCAGTGAGGAGGGGCCCTATGCGAAAGTTTTTTTTTTTTGTTTTTTTTCATTTTCCCGGATTCGGGCTTTAATAAAATTTTATACAATGAGGCACGATGCTCAACATATGGAAAATAAAATTAGGATTCAGATCTACTACTACACGCTATCGCTTTTGCTTTTCAAAAGAAAAAAAAAACTAAATCTCAATCCCTGCAGAGCACTTATCAAAGGCCAATACCCTAGAGTCAATTTCCAGCAAAACGGCCATAAAAAAATTTAGCAGCACGCAATAATGAACATATCAACATACTGACATGGCAACAAAAAAATATATAACTGGGGGCAGAAGACTTTCGGCTGCTCTCTGGGAAGGCAGGATCATCACACAAGAGAAGTCATAAACAAACAGATATCCAAATCACATAAATACAAGAGACAGCGGACTGAGGAAGTGAACACGGGCTGAACTGCAGCAGCTGCTAGGAACGTTTCCTCCTGGTTTTGGCAGATGGAGCCAAACCAGAAATTGGAGTTTATTTTTACATTTGTTCACAAATAAATCAAGAGCCAAAGAGGATCGCTGGGTAAGGTCATGTTTATAAGGGTAGAGGAAAAAAATTATAGTTGCAAATATATTTGTTTTTCTTAAAGTATATGTTACTCCAACATTTCATAGTCCTGATATGTATCCGTTGTACCATTTACTTGTATTGAAAAGTATCTTGTTCTCTTGGTATTGTATCATTGTGTGAAATACTTGTGTGATCGTGCCAGTCACCCTGCTTGCCTAGTACAAATTGACCACGCCAGGGCATACAAGTACATCCACCCCAGTGTGGTCAGTTTTCTTCTTTGCATTCTGTACTCCAGTGGTCAGGCTTCTGCAGACACGTCCCTATGCACAGCTAATCGCTGGAAGGATTAGTGTACTGCTGTTTCTGTGCCTCTTGCTGACACATCCCACTGCAGTCTCCACCCCCAACTCTCCAAGCCCCTTATGCAGCTGAGAACAGAGGTCATGTGATCATTTTAAAAAAATTAGGGAAAAAAAAAAAAAAAGAAAAAAAGAAAAAAAAAAAAAAAAGAAAAAAAAAAAAAAAAAAAAAAGAAAAAAAAAAAAAAAAGGACTTACCGTATATAGCAACACCAAACAAGTAAAATCAACCTACAGTTGCAAGAAAAAGTATGTGAACCCCTTGGGATTACGTGGAGTTTTGCATGAATTGGGCATAAAATGTGCTCTGAACGTCATCTAAGTCACATCAATAGAAGAACACAGTCTGCTGAACATAATACTACACAAACATTAGATGTTGCCATGGTTTAATTGCACATAACATGTAAACATTCACAGTGCAGGGAGGAAAAAGTATGTGAGGCCCTAGCTTAATGACTTCTCCCAGAGCTAATTGGAGCCAGGAGTGAGCCAACCTTGACTCCAATCAGTGTGATGATATTGGATGTGTTGCTGACAGCTGTCCTGCCCTTAAAAAACACACACCTGTTTTGGGTTTACTGGTTTCAAGAAGCACTGTCTGATGTGAACCATGCCTCGCACAAAAGAGCTCTCAGAAGACCTACGATCAAGAATTGTTGACTTGCATGAAGCTGGAAAGGGTTACAAAAGTATCTCCAAAAGCCTTGATGTTCATGTGTCCACGGTAAGACAGACTGTCTACAAATGGAGAAAGTTTAGCACTGTTGCTACTCTCCCTAGGCGTGGTCGTCCTGTAAAAATGACTGCAAGAGCACAGCGCAGAATGCTGCATGAGGTAAAGAAGAATCCCAGAGTGTCAGCTAAAGACCTACAGAAATCTCTGGCACATGCTAACATTTTTGTTGACACATCTACAATAAGGAAAACATTAAACAAGAATGGAGTACATGGGAGGACACCACGGAGGAAGCCATTGCTGTCCAAAAAGAATATTGCAGCACGTTTGAAGTTTGCAAAAGAGCACCTGGATGTTCCACAGCACTACTGGCAAAATATACTGTGGACAGATGAAACCAAGATTGAGTTGTTTGGGAAGAACACACAACACTATGTGTGGAGAAAAAAAGGCACAGCACACCAACATCAAAACCTCATCCCCACTGTAAAACATGGCGGAGGGAGCATCATGGTTTGGGGCTGCTTTGCTGCCTCAGGGCCTGGACGGATTGTTGTCATTGATGGGAAAATGAATTCCAGAGTTTATCAAGACATTTTGCAGGAAAACGTACGACCATCTGTCCGCCAACTGAAGCTCCGCACAGGATGGGTGATGCAACAGGACAATGACCCAAAGTATACAAGTAATTCAACAAAACAATGGCTGCAACAGCACAGAATACGCCTTCTGGAGTGGCCCAGTCAGAGTCCTGACCTCAACCCGATTGAAATGCTGTGGCATGACCTTAAGAGAGCGATTCACACCAGACATCCCAAGAATATTGCTACACTGAAACAGTTTTGTGAAGAGGAGTGGTCCAAAATGACTCCAGATCGTTGTGCAGGTCTGATCTGCAACTACAGGAAACGTTTGGTTGAGGTTATTGCTGCCAAAGGAGGGTCAACCAGTTATTAAGTCCAAAGGTTCACATACTTTTTCCTCCTGCACTTTGAATGTTTACATGTTATGTGCAATTAAACCATGGCAACATCTAATGTTTGTGTAGTATTATGTTCAGCAGACTGTGTTCTTCTATTGTTGTGACTTAGATGACGTTCAGAGCACATTTTATGCCCAATTCATGCAAAACTCCACGTAATCCCAAGGGGTTCACATACTTTTTCTTCCAACTGCCTGATGACTAATAATGTCTAGGAAAGGCAAGTATGCAGAAAGCCAAGCTCCAACAACAAACTTTTTTTTCCTCCAGTTTGGGGAAGGTTTCTATTATGGTCTGTGACAGGGGCAGACTGACCATTCGGGCACTCGAGTACTGCCTGAGGGCCCAGGGTCAGTAGGGGGCCCCATGAGATGCCCCTGGTACCTTTCATAGGCTTTTTTGGGTGTGGGCGAGGACACAGGGGCCTCATGATCCCCTATTGCCCGTGGGGCCCCATGAGTTGTCAGACTGCCCCTGGTCTGTGACCAGGAAACTGGGTGTAAAATCTCTGCCGTGGGTGTGTGATTCAGTGTAATCCATACAGTTGGTGCACAAAACGGCAATTCAAAGGATTTATTTATTACAGGTACTTATATAGCGCCATCAATTTACCCAGCGCTTTACATATATATTATACAGCCACATCAGTCCCTAACCCTCAAGGGGTGTACAATCTAAGGTCCCTAACTTACATTCATACATACACATACTAGGGCCAATTTAGACAGGATCCAGTTAACCTACCAGCATGTCTTTTGGAGTGTGGGAGGAAACTGGAGTACCCGGAGGAAACCCACGCAGGCCCAGGGAGAACATGCAAACTCCAGGCAGGTGGTGCCATATAACCAACAACCCTAGTACTGCAAGGCGGAGGTGCTAACCACTGTGCCACTGTGATGGTGCCGTCACCCACAGGCATCCAAATCTCCATCACACCGTGATAAATCAGAGGGCAAACATTTGTTATCAGAGATGAAAAAATGCAGCATTTCTGGGGCCTCAGAAGAACCCAAATATCTGTTGCTTTAATAGAGGAGTCCTTTAGATGCCCCGAAATGTCAAATCTTCTGGTCTCTGATCATTCTGGATATTCCAGCTCTGTTCTATCACGGCATATTGGTGATGCTTCATTATTTCTGCAGTGCACACGGCTGTGTTAAAACCTCGGCCAGGTTAATTTTACTGTTTGTGTCTTCCTGTCCTGGTGACAACTTGTGCACGTGTCCTCTGGACTCTTGTCCTGCTGTCATGTGGATAGGACGTGAGGTGAAGACTCCCTAATGGGCACCATTTCAAAGCCAGAGATGGGATTTTAAAGAAGTATTTGAAAAAATTAAAACCTGCGCTACACCCAACACATGATAAAAAGTGAAAAAAATGTGAATATATAAAATGCAATGAATAGATAAATGAATAAATTGAACTACCGCTACGCTCTTCCTGAATACCAGAATAAACGAAAATAAAAAATAATAAATGAGTGCACTGTTCACTTATTAAACCTGACAAAATGACTAAACATAATAGACCAAAAATAAACATATACAAATGTGCAAAAAATACATCTGAAGTGCTATAAATACATAGTTAGTCTGGCTGAAAAAAGACAAAAGTCCAACCAGTGCAACCATAGAAAAAAAAAAAAAAAAAAAAGGTTTATAATCCTATACCCACAGTTGATCCAGAGGAAGGTAAAAAAAAATCCAGCAAAGAATGATCCAATTTGCTCCTGCTGTGAAAAAAATTTCCTTCCTGATCCTCCGAGAGGCAATCGGATATTCAACCTGGATCAACTTTACCTATAAATGTTAGTATCCAGTTATATTCTGTGTATCTAAGAAAGAATCCAGGACTTTTTGAAGCAATCCACTGAGCTGGCCAGAACCAACTCTTGAGGGAGTCTATTCTACATTTTCACAGCTCTTACTGTGAAGAAACCTTTCCGTGTTTGGAGATCATATCCCCCTTATGTATTATACACGGTGATCACATCCCCCCTTATATATTATACACGATGATCACACCCCCCCCCCCCCCCTTATGTATTATACATGGAGATCATATCCCCCCCCTTATGTATTATACATGGAGATCATATCCCCCCCCTTATGTATTATACATGGAGATCATATCCCCCCCCTTATGTATTATACATGGAGATCATACCCCCCCTTATGTATTATACATGGAGATCATACCCCCCCCTTATGTATTATACATGGAGATCATATACCCCCCCTTATGTATTATACATGGAGATCATACCCCCCCCTTATGTATTATACATGGAGATCATACCACCCCTTATGTATTATACATGGAGATCATACCCCCCTTATGTATTATACATGGAGATCATATCCCCCCCTTATGTATTATACATGGAGATCATATCCCACCTTATGTATTATACATGGGGATCATATCCCCCCCCCCCTTACGTATTATACATGGCGATCATATCCCCCCCCCCCCATGTATTATACATGGAGATCATATCCCCCCCATGTATAATACATGGAGATCATATCCCCCCTTATGTATTATACATGGAGATCATATCCCCCCTTATGTATTATACATGGAGATCATATCCCCCCCTTATGTATTATACATGGAGATCATATCCCCCCTTATGTATTATACATGGAGATCATATCCCCCTTATGTATTATACATGGTATTATACATGAGTGATCATTCCCCCCTATATGTATTATACATGGTGATCATATCCCCCCCTTATGTATTATACATGGAGATCATACCCCCCCTTATGTATTATACATGGTGATCATATCCCCCTTAATCTCCTCTTCTCAAGAAAGAATACATTTGGTTCCTCTAATCTTTCCTCATAGCTGATCTCCTCCATGCCTCTTATCAGTTTGGTTGCCCTTCTCTGTACTTTCTCCAGTTCCCCAATGTTCTTTTTGTGAATTGGTGTCCATAGTATGAGTAATCAATAAGTCTCAAATCCAATGTGAAAGAGCTGCGTGCTGAATGTAATCGCCAACGAAGTGCTATGGTGTCCGTAACTGCTCGTCACACCAAGCAAATCAGCCTCTTGCCTAACCAATTTGAACCCCAATCAAGAGATCAAACGTGCAGACGGTGTCCAGATTCCACACTGACACCCGTGCTAACAATATCGAAGGAGATGGATGGACAGCTGTGGGCTCACCCAAACGAATTCCTCATATCGAACCGCTCTCCATACAGTGTAGAGAAGGATTAAAACAGAAGAGACTTCATAGTGCAACCCGACAGAACAGAACTAAAACATGTATTCAATAAAACATTGCACTTACATAGTTAGGGTGCATAAAGGCAGTGTACAAATTCAAATCTACCGCGGTGTCATTCCACCGGCCGGAGCGTGGTGACGTCTCAGAAGACTCCCTCCTCTTGCGGACACCGTAGCACTTTGTTGGAGATTACATTCAGCACGCAGCACTTTCACACTGGATTTGGGACATACTATGGACATGTATTTAAAGTACTTCTTGCACATTTGTATGTGTTTATTTGTGGTCTAGTTTTTTTATCTATGATGTTTACTCATTTTGTCAGGTTTAATGTACAGCGCACTCGTTTATTATTTTTTTAGTATTGTAGTTCAAATCCTCCTTTCCGATCTGGGTTTATGGTGCAAGGTAACACGACTATTATTATTATACAGGATTTATATAGCGCCAACAGTTTGCAATATAAAGGGAGACAGTACAATTACAATACCTTCAGTACAGAAGGAATAGGAGGGCCCGGATTGTGGAGCTTACAATCTAAAGGAAGGGGGAGGTGATAGCTGCGGGCGATGATCTGGTGGAGGTGATTCAAGTACAGTTCTTAGGTGGAGGTAGGGGTAGGCTTCCCTGAATAAGTGAGTTTTAAAAGATCACCTAAAAGGCAGACAGGGTGGGGGCTGATTGGATATACTGTGGTAGAGAGTTCCAGAGGATGAGAGAGGCTCTGGAAAAGTCCTGGAGAAGGTGATGAGGGAGCTACAGAGGAATATATCTTGGGAGGAGCGGAGTGGACTGGATTTCATCAGAACTACCAAACCACACACACAGGGGCGGACTGACCATTTGGAAACTCGGGCACTGCCCGAGGGCCTGGGGTCAGTAGGGGGCCCCATGAGATGCCCCTGGTACCTTTTTCATAGGATTTTTTGAGTTTGGGCAAGGACACAGGGGCCCCATGATCCCCTATTGCCCGGGGGGGCCCCATGAGTTGTCAGTCCGCCCCTGCACACACATTATCATGCACTGCTGACATGATTTGTTGGCTCCCTGAATTCAGGCATGGTATGCACTATATATCTGAACCCTTCACTTTCCCCACTTTCCATACATCATGATAGCAGCCATGTTGTCCGTTTGAACAATGTTCCATGGCATGCAACCTATCAAGTCATAAGCCCAGATAGAAGAGGTTGTTATTGGCGCACACATTACATGCAGTACACGTTTATTCTTGAACATACGTTATGTACCATAGCAACATGTCAATAAGAGAACACATCATAACACATTTTACACCTGTACTTTCTTCTACAATAATTCAGTAGAGATCAAAGACATACAGTTGGACTTCCTTCAGGATGGCAGTATCTCTCAAAGATTGCAGGTCTGGTGAAAGAAAAATTTGCATACAGGCATATCTTCATCAGTCTAGATCAAAGTTCATAAATGTACTCAATTTGTGACCTCCCCACCCACAGATTTTGCAGTCCTGAAAAAACATTTTTTTAAATCTTCCATAAAACTTATACAAAGAGCTCCGTGAAGTTAAACTCTTTACATGAGTGGAATATGCTCTTTTTGTATCATGCCCTACAGAATAGTTGATCATGTCATAGATAGGTGACCAGCCGGCCCATTGAGAACATTTAAAAGGATAAACCGCATCGGGGCGGAGCCTGTGCTGACGTCATTGTGCCCGCCGGAGCTAGCAGCAGTGAGGATTATTGAGGTGCCCTTTACATATATACAGTTGTGAGTAGCTCTTCAGTTTATAGGCAATTCAATTTAATGGTTTTACACTATGGGGGTGTTGTCAACTATTATTATTATTATTATACAGGATTTATATAGTGCCAACAGTTTGCTCAGCACTTTACAAATTGAAGGTAGACATTACAGTTACAATACAATTTGGTACAAGACGAAACAGAGGGCCCTGATCCTGAGAGCTTACAATCTAGCTAACTTCTTGCCAGATTGATGTGTGCTGAGACGGAGAGGTAATCTAATGCAGTCCCTGCTGGTGTGTTCCCAAATCCCATGGATGCATTTGCCACAGCAGGTCCCAGGCTTCCATGACCACATTCAGACCACCTTAAATTTGGGGTCCTCCTGATTGGTAAGAGGCTGTATGTGGCAATGGTGGTGGAACTCACCGGGGGATTTATTTATATTATTACAGGTACTTCTATAGTGCCATTTTAAAAGCTACAGCTATATATATATATTTATTACATTCACATCAGTCCCTAACCCTCAA